AACTTCTCTGCATCCTCCCTAATATTTTTTGTCTGTTCGTTTTTTTTTTTTTATATGATAGCTATCCCAATGAGTATGAAATGGCATTTCAYTGTGGTTTTGGTTTGCATTTTCCTAATGAGTAGTGATATTGAGGATCTTTTTTACGTTTATTGAACAATTTATATTTTCTTTGGAGAAATGTCTACTCAAGTACTTTCCCATTTTTTCCCTGGCCCGTGCTTTGATCTTATTCCCCATGTCATACAGTGAGTAACAATATTTGCTTCACATGGGCCATTCATTGTCCAGACTATGTGAACAGCAAGCCCTAGTTCCTCTTCCAGAGATGGCATTCCACATCTCTTCCAGGGAAGTCTTTCCTACCTACCCAAGAAAACGAACACTCTTGTCTGTCTCGGACGAGTTGTGTCCTGATGATTGGAATTCAGCAGCACTTGAGGACACACACACACACACACACACACACACACACACACCAAGGCTGAGCCTCCTTTCTCTCCCACAAGCCCCCAGCCTCACACCACCATGCACCCTGGCCCAGAGTCTGAGGCCTGCTTGGTGTGCTCAGGTTCTGGGTGAGTGGGCTCCAGCACACCCAGGAGCCTGGGGTCTACAGGTGATTGAGCTGTACTACCATGCGCTACTTCAATCTCCTGGGTCTCACCTGGCCCTGTGCCCCCCAGAGCCTGTCTGCCCAGCTCAGCCACCCATTGCCAAGGCCACATTGAAGACTTTTCCACCCCCTACCACACTTCCAGAACCTCCCTTGAATCGATTCTGATCCAATGGCCTCCTAGCCTGCTGGGTTACTCTCATGACCCCAACCCACCCTCCTCCAGTCAGAACCCCGTTTTTCCTCTGTTCCCAGCTCAGAGAGGGATCCTGGACCCCAGGTTTCCACAGGGCGGTCCCAGTTAGATAGACTTAGAGCCCACCTGCAGAGCCTCCCTTTTAGGTCTCTGCTTTCAGAGACCCTGGGCGATGTGCATGACAGAGGCCAGTTGACTCCGCCAGTCTGGTCTAAATGAAAGGCCACCGAAGAGGGCCACAGGGCCCTGGAACTGTGTGGCCCTGGAGCCCGGACAACTGGTTCCAGGTGAGAAGTACATGTAGGTGGAGCCAGAGGTCCGGTTTAACTGTCCATAATTCCAAAGGGATGGCCGCGTGAGGCACATGCGCAGTTGCTGGCCTCCACGGTGGGCAGGTGGGCGTTTCGGGCTGTAGTTGCAGACTGGGTCTTACTGAATCCCGCTGGCCTGGGATTCCCACTAGGTACTGGGAACTAAGCGGGCCCTGTCCGCACAGGCGTGGGATGCCAGCAGCGAGTGAGCAGCGAGTGAGTGTCCCAGGAAAACCACCGTCCCATGTCCAGCACCCTACAGAGAGGCTGGCTCTGCAATTGGCAGTGGCCCTGCCATAAGCACTAAGTTGGCTGTCCTTGCAGTGAGACTAAAGGAAAGGCATGGTCCCAGAACTTTCGGGAAGGCAGGCAGGCTGCCGGACTGGTTTCGTGCCCGTGGGCTGATGACAGGCACGCTGCCCCACCAGCTGTGGGCGACCACGCCCAGTACCTCCCATCTCTAGAAATTAGGGCACTCTCCCAGGGGCCGGGAAGGGCTTCAGCCCGGGGTCCTCTCTCTCCCTGATGATTTCCCTCTCTTTGCTTAAGCTGGCCCCAGACAGTCCAGGTCCTTGAAACAGGGAAACGGGCTTGGCCTCCTGGCCACTCACCTGCGTCTTCTGGGGGCAGAGGCAACCTTTTCTCCCTAGACCTCCCCCACTTGCTCACAGCCACCTTCAAAGAGAAACCAGACRCGGTGGGACAGGATGTTGGCCTGGAGCCTCCGCAGAGGGGGCTGGCCCACTGCCAGCAYCCAAGAGCAGCTGCTGTCCCTCACCCTCCAGAACCAGCGTCCTCTTCAGAGCCCTCACAGTAAAACATGCCCTGGGCGAGGGTGGGGGGAGTGGGGTGGGGGTGGGTGTACATATAAAAAGGACCCTGCACAATGGAACTGCTTTTTTTTTTTCTTTTAATATTTTTTTAGTTGTCAACAGACCTTCTATTTATTTATGTGCAGTGCTGAAAATCAAACCCAGGGCCTCACAGAGCTAGGCAAGCACTCTCCCACTGAGCTGCAACTCCAGCCCATGGAGCTGATTTTAACAGCCTCCAGGAGATAATTCACAAGCGGAAGAATGGGAGGTTCATGCTGACCACCATTACCACCATCTAATGTTGGATTACSTTCACCCAAATTAAGCAGCTTCTTTCCTAAAAAGCAGTCCCCCATTCTCCAAATGCTGGGTGACCGAGGTCCACTTCCTGCTTCCATCTCCAGGCCTCTTCCTATCTCCTGGTGGGTGAACTCACCAGTTCATGTCCTGGGTTGACCTCTGGTCACTTACCATCTCTACTGGTCCACTTTCTGGGGTGACTGCCAGTCACTTCCAGTCTCCTCTGATCACTGGTCCAGTACCAAGGGTAACCAGGTCCACTTCCTATCTCCAAAGGTGACACCAGTTCATTTCCCATATCAATGTGGGGGAAACTGGTCCACTTACTGTTTCCACAGGTGACCACTAGCCCACTTTCTGTCCCCATGGAGGAAGACTGGTTCACCCCAAGGGTGACCACGGTCCACTTCTTATCCATACAGGTGACCTCTGGTCTCCTGGATTTCTTTCTCCATGGGTTTGCCATTCTGGACACACTAATGTTTCACTGGTATAGTGTTTTCTTTCTTCCTTTTTTACAAAAATATATTCAGTTGTCAATGAACATTTATTTATTTATTTATTTATTTATTTATTTATGTATGTATGTATGTATGTATGTATGTATGTGGTGCTGAGAATCGAACCAGGTGCCTTACCCATTCCAAGAAAGCACTCTACCACTGAGCCACAAACCCAGCCCTCTTTCTTCCTTTTTTAATTGGTGCATTTTAATTACATAATAGTGGAATTGGTTGCTAAATATTCGTACATGCATACATTATAACAGTAATTTGGTCAATTTTGTTCCCAGTTCCTCCCTGTGTTAGTCAACTTTTCATGTTCAAAATATCCCACATGAACAATTTAGGAGGGAAAGTTTATTTTAGCTCATGGTTCCAGAGATTAAGCCTATGGTAGATGGACTTCATTGCTCTGGGCCAAAGGTGAAGCAGGATCATGGTGGAAGGCACAGGGGTGGGAAGCTGCTAAATTCATGTTAGCCAGAAAGGGACACATACACACACACACACACACACACACACACACACACACACGGGGGGGGGGGGGGGAATGCCATGGGGAAGTTGAACCCTTCCAGGACATGCCCCCAGGGACCCATCTCCTCCAGCCCTGCCCTACCTGCCTACAGTTACCACCTGTCAGTTCATTCAAACTAGGATGGACTGATTAGCTCTCACAACCAATCATTTCATCTCTTATTCCTGCATCAACACAGGAGCTTTTGAGGGATACTTCATATCCAAACCATAGCACTTCCCTTTCCCTCYCTCCTCCATTCCCCTACTTTATTGGTTTCCCTTCTATTATCATGAGTTCCTCCCCATCTCCCCCCCCCCTTTTTTTTTCTTTATAGCTTCCAGGTGAAAGAAGACCTATAACCCTTGACTCTCAGTTTGCCTTACTTCACTTAACAAAAACTAGCAAAAATGTTTTGGACGTTCATTCACATTGCAGCATGCATCAGTAGTTTGTATGGATTAACCACGTTGTGTGTCCACTCATCTGCTGATGGACAGCTGGGTTGTTTCCACAGTCTGACGTGTTACTTATTAATAATGTTGCTGTAACATTGGTGTGCAAGTTGCATAGACCCACCTGGCAATTCTCTCAGGTACACACCTAGAGTGGAATGTTAAATTCTGTTCAACAGGGAGCACCCACTAGCCTGCTTTCCAAAGTGAAGGCATGGTTTGGTGTTCCCACCAGTAGCATGTAAGGACTGCAGTTCCTCCACAGCCCCCTATGCTTATTTCAGCCATAAAGGCATGTGAAATAGGACCTCTCTCATTGGGTGTGGGATTGTATTTTCTTGGTGACTAGTGAAGTTGACATCTTTGTGTAGCCATGTATTATTTAAGCACACATTCTGCACCCTGGGCATCTAGGGATTGTCACTGGGCTAGGCTTTGGGGTCACTGGGGTGAGCCAGACAAACACAGCCCTGCTCCCTCATAGCTACAGCTCTGGAGGTACAGCTATGGGAACCAACAGGTAACTGCTGAGAACATAGCTCTGGGAGATGGCCCACAAGGTGGCCCACCATTCAGAAGTCAGAGGTTCTGAATGAGAGCAGGGGTCATGGGACATCTTCCAGACTATCCGGGAAAGTAGTGTTGTACATGTGACTGCTGGAACAGGGTGAATTGGTTATAACCATAATTCATTCTGAGATTGGCATCCACAGAAATGGTAGATTCCAGGGGCAACTGACTCCATGGCCCAGGGCTTTGTGCGTGTCCCTCATCAAGAGGCAGCTCGTTTTAGTGTATCTACACAGAAGGCAGAGGGCAGGTGATATGAGTACCAGAAATACAGGTTTATTGACTGTCGGTTATGTTAATTATAATGTGTGTGTTGGATAAAAGATTATAAGCAATGTGCCCATGATGTAATGGGCAGAACTTAGATTTAAGTTGGTGATGTATGAGTCTACACTCCAGACCTCACGCACTCAYTCATCCGCCCCGATCGAGTTCCAGCAACCCGGATTTAAGACACGTCACAGGTGAGCTTCTGGGACCCTTGGGTGTAGACTTAGTACTTAGAATTGGGATGTGTCTGAAGTGTGATGAGCATCAATAAAATAGGTTTGACTGAATCTAACTGCGCCTCCACTGTCAATGATAAGCGCTCGTGGCAACAGGTGGGGTCGCAGTTTCGTGCCAGCCCGCCGGTTCTGGCACAGCCACACCCAACTGCGCGCCTTGCAAAGGCCGGCGCTTAGCCCTGTCTTGCGTCCACTGCGCCGCTGCGAAGACCAACGACCGAGAGCTCTGGCTGCCAGCTCCTCCCCGGCCACTTCCGCCCCTGGCCGAGGAAGGCCCAAGCTGCGCCACAGGAGCTGGTCCGTCCGTCCGCCCCGCGCCCAGGCCTGGCAGCCCCTGCTCTGGCGGACCCCGACGCGCACATGGACGCACGGACCTCCGAGGGTCCCCACGGGGACCCGCTGCGGGACGCGGTGAGTGGTCCCCGCGGCGGCCTGGACAAAGCAGCCAAAACCTGTGTCTCTTGGAGGAACGCCCCCACCCCTTCCTGGAACCCGTGAAAGTCCTGCCCCACCGCTGGGGCCGGGCTGGATTTTAGAGCCCCGCCCCAGGAGGGGTGACTTTGGACCCTCTGAGTCTTCCGCGTCCCTCCTGCTCTCCTATTTGCCAAAACAGGTTCCAAGCCTGGAAGAGGCAGATAGGTTTACCCTGTTAAAAAGAATTTGCTACATGAACAGACTGCATTTTCCTGACCAAGGTAGACGCCCCTGATTAAAGGAGCCAACTAGAGATAAGGATGGCAGATCCGCAGTGAGAAGGCAGACTAGGGGTGCTGGTCCAGTGCTTCCCCCGCCAACAAATACAGGGGTGAGGTCTCAGGTCATAAMTTATTTAACGTGCAAACTAGAAAGCAGCGCAGAAACGTGAAACGCTAGCTGTAACGATATTCTGCGCAACCTGGCTGATAATACCAACTACAACACCAACACCACCAGCTGGTGAACACCCATAGTAAGGAGGATACATAAGCTGTGAATGGCTTCAGTTCCTTGGGGAGCTCTTGAGAGTGACTGAGGCTGCTCCCTGTGCTCCTCTCTAGACTTACATTTCAGCTCTCAGAGGGTAGGTGTGTGCTCACTGCGAGTTAACTGTGTCRTGTACAGATGCAGTTTTGCACAGCCATCTCTTTCTGGTGCTTGGCACCTTTTGTCAAAAGCCACTGGAGCCCACGTATTCAGCATCTAAACGTTTTGTATTTTCATTTCTCTAAACTGTAGAGCCAAACAAATGAAAAATAAAACTATTCAAAGATGCAGGGGAAAAAAAACTGGAGCATGTATGATGGATTATTTCATTAATAATAAATGTTGAGTACTTTGTGGTTCCATTTTCCAGGCAGAACATCTACTTCAGGAACTTCAAGAACATTTTCAAGCTCTCACTGCAGCATTAAACCTGAGAAATATCCTCTTCTATCTTTAGTAAACACTAATGCTTTTGGACAGGCACATCTTCATTGTCTTCTGCTGTGGACAAATAGTTATTTGGATTCTCCAGTATTTACACTTGCCCTTCTAAGGGGCTTTTCCTGTGCTGTCAATGCCAGAGGTCTGTGGCAAGTGTGAAGTTCAAGGGCACCACTCTGCTCCTGACCACCTGGACAACCTGATCTGCAACACTGAGAGGACGGTGCTTAAGTCCAATAGGAAGCTAGACACTGCTGTGCCTTTGCTTTGTTTTGACTTCCCCAGCTCACGCTTTTATTTCAGAAACACAAAATTTTACAAAATTAACACAGAATGTTTCCAATGAGTAAGTTCAGGTAAGGACAAAGAGTGCCTTAAAATTTGCCCAATTTGAGCTCACTTTATTCAATTAAGTGCATTCCTTAAACATTGTGTAAAGTATTTGCATTTGGAAGTGCAGCTTTTGATTTTGAAGATGGGTTCCCAACAAGGTAAAACATGATACATTAAACCATAGAGTTGTTTTAAAAGTTAAATTTCCATTATATTATGCTCAGAGTTTGGCAGGTTTAAAAGCCAAGTTTCTGACTTCAAGGTTCAAGGTGCACACTAAAAGGGACTCAGGAGGCAGCAAATTTTGCATTGACCCTTCATTTTACAAGTTCCTCTCTGTGGAGAAGGTATGGCCTTGAGGGCGTGTCTGTGGTCACTCTGCACCCCAGACCTACATGTGCAGTTTTCCTTGACGTGGCACTGGAAGACATGGGGAATCGCATAGAGGACTTACAGAAGAATGTGAATGTCCTAATGGAGCAGGCTGGGGTTGGAAATTCCACTGAAGAGCAAACAGTAAGTTCATCATTAGGCAACTGTTTGCCTTTTGCATAACTTTTAATTGCTTTCATCTTGAAAAATACAATCCCATATTTGTTCACTGTGCAAATACTGTTGCCRTATTACTGAAAAGCCATTAGAAACAAGACATTTCCAAATGCTCTAATCCAATTATACCAACTGAAACACTCTTTTCCATAATTCCTTAAAAGTGCACATTTTAGATGAAAAATTCCTATTTCAAAGTTGGATTTTATTAGGGCACTTTTCATCCCTACTCCTTAAATTAGTCTTCAGCTAGAACACTAATCACAGTGAACTAGAGACTGAGATTATAACTAGTAGTTCCTGTTTAGATAACTTATCCATGTCACACACTGAAGTCCTATGCACAGAAAGTCCTTAACACATTTCCTGAGTGGCCCACAGGGCGTGGGTCACCCCACAATGGGAACTTTCCTATGCTAATGCAGTCTCGAGGATGCAAACAAATTCCTAGCTCTAGGTCTGAGACCTGGAGAGTAGCTTTATTAAGGTAAGTATGCATATTATCATGACAGTACTCCAACTATGACCATCTTTTCATTGAACAATTTAAAGGCCTTTGTTTACTCACAATTGCTATCCTAAGTCAGATATCAAATTATGGCAAATTATCCCTTCTTGTCCTGCTAAATTATAGTTGCCTCTGTCAGTGACATTAATTGCAGTAAGTTATTCTAAGCAGAGTCCACATTGATGCCATTGGACTAAAAAGGCCCTTGTATCATTTGTTTTCCTGAGTGCTAAATTTTGCCTACATATCAATGTTGTAATAATTATAAGAAATTAGGGTACTTTACTAAAAACTGTATTCGGATGTATTTACATGTAAACTGGAATCCAGATCACCTAACTGCTTTCAAATTTTTTCTTACAGACCTGAAGATGTTATTGGACAAGTCCCGTGAAACTAATACAATGAAGACTTTGAAGGAGTAATCATCTATGTAATATGGATTCTGATTCTCAGTTCTTAATTTTAAGATTATTTTTTTGGGGGGAGGGGTCCTGGGAATGGAACTCAGGGCCTCAGCATGCTAGGCCCCGAGTTGCACCTCCAGTCTATCAGAATTCTTTTTTTTCCCTTTTAGTTTTAATTGGATGCGATAYCTTTATTTTATTTATTTTTATGTGGTGCTGAGGATTAAACCCAGTGTCTCGAACATGCTAGGCAAGCGCTCTACCACTGAGCCACAACATCAGAATTCATTTTAACAAAAAGATTAAAAGAGGGCTGGGGATGTGGCTCAAGCAGTAGTGCGCTCGCCTGGCATGCGTGCGGCCCGGGTTCGATCCTCAGCACCACATACAAAGATGTTGTGTCCACTGAAAAATTTAAAAATTTCTCTTTAAAAAAAATTAAAATAAGAAATAAGAATTCAAAAGGTGGTGAACTACTTACCACAGATAGCTGCAAACAATGGAGAAATATTTTTTTAGTGCATAATATTTACAAATTATGGAAGAAAAGCATATGCTGTATGAATACATGAATACTTTTTCCAAATTAAAATTCTACATGGATCTTTTAAGGATCACCAGCAGTTTTCTATCGGGCTTTGTTTTTTTTTTTTTAAAGTTAATTTATTTATTCTTGGGTTGGGGATGTGGCTCAAGTGGTAGCACGTTCGCCTGGCATGCGTGCGGCCCGGGTTCAATCCTCAGCAACACATACAAACAAAGATGTTGTGTCCGCTGAAAACTAGAAGATAAAAATATTAAAATTCTCTAAAAAAATATTCTAATTTCTTACATGTAACAGCAGAATGCATTTCAATTCATACTACACATATGGAGCACAATTTTTCATGTCTCTGGTTGTATGTGAAGTAGAGTCACACCACTCATGTCTTCATACGTGTACTTGGGGTAATGATGTCTATCTCATTCCATCGTTTCTTACCCCCTCTCTTCCCCTCCCCTCTACCCTATCTAAAGTTCCTCCATTCCTCTCATGCCTCCCGCCATTCCTATTATGGACCAGCATCTGATAACAGAGAAAACATTCGGTATTTGGTTTTTTGGGGATTGGCTTACTTCACTTAGCATAATATTCTACAACTTCACCCAATTACCTGCAAATGCCATGATTTTATTCTCTTCTAATGCTGAGCAATATCCAACTGTGTAAATATACCATAGTTTCTTTACCCATTTATCTATTGAAGGGCATCTAGGTTGGTTCCACAATTCAGCCATTGTGAATTGTATTGCTATAAACATTGACATAGCTGTTTTTAAATCGTTTGGGTATAAACTGAGGAGGATAGTTGGATCAAATGGTGGTTACATTTCAAGTTTTCCAAGGAATCTTCATACCACTTTCCATATTGGTTGCACCAATTTGCAGTCCCACCAGCAATGTATGARTGTCTTTTCCCCCACAACCTTGCCAACACTTACTGTTGTTTGTATTAATAGCTGCCATTCTGACTGGAGTGAGATAAAAATCTTAAGAGTAGTTTTGATTTGAATTTCTCTAATAACTAGAGATATTGAATATTTTTTAATGTATTTGTTGCTTGATTGTATATCATCTTCTGAAAAGTGTCTGTTCAGTTCCTTGGCCCATTTATTGATTTGGTTTGTTTGTTTTGGTGTTTAGCTTTTTGAGTTCTTTATATACCCTAGAGATTAGTCGTTTATCTGATGTGCATGTGGTAAAAATTTGCTCCCATTCTGTAGGCTCTCTATTCACCTCACTGATTGTTTCTTGCTTAGATGATGATTTTTAGTTTGAATCCACCCCATTTGGATTCTTGATTTTATTTCTTGCATAATAGGAGTCTTATTAAGGAAGGTGGGGCCTACTTTTTCTTCTATTAGGCACAGGGTCCCTTGTTTAGTTCCTAGGTCCTTGATCCAATTTGAGTTGTTTTTTGTATGGTAATAGGGGCTCAACTTCATTTTGTTGCATATGGATTTCCAGTTTTCCCAGCACCATTTGTTGAAGAGGATATTCTTTCTCCAATATATTTTTGGCGCTTTTGTCTAATATGACTGTATTTATGTGAGTTTGTTTCTGTGTCCTCTATTCTACACCATTGGTCTACAAGTCTATTTTGGTGCCAATACCACACCGTTTTACTACTGTTGCTCTGTAGTACAGTTTAAGGTTTGGTATAGTGATGCCACCTGCTTCACTCTTCTTGCTTTAGCTATTCTGGGTCTCTTTATTTTTCCAGTGAATTTCATGACTACTTTTA